TGTTCTCTAATGGTGGTTTGGACAAGTATGGATCAACTGCACAATTCAACACCATTGATCCAGAACAACAAGACAAGACACAAAGCATTGGAAGCCGTGCRCGTAGRGTTTCTAATTTGATTCAAAGCCGTCCACTCCCAGCTGTTCCAATTAACAAGAGATTCTCCAAAAGTTTGGATAAGTTCAGGTTTTTTAATACCCTGCCTGTCATTAAAACACAAGACACYCCCAAGGRYGGGCTCCTTTTTAGGGAGCCTCCTTACACCAATTTGGTCAAGTCTGCAAGTTATGGATCTAATCTTCACAGATCTGTTAACAACAATAATAATAATATATGTTTGCCAGTAATGGTGGATCAACCAGCTCTTTTTGCTACAAGGAAAAGCTCATTTGATGTTCATACTAAAGTGACTGGCAATAATTTAAGTCACCGCAAATCAAAGTCTCTTGATACACTTACTCTTTTGAAAGGAATTGATTTTAATGTTACAAATGTTGATATATACCATTCCTATGAAAGTGTGCATAATAGGGATGCAGAATATGCAAGRGTGTCAGACAGCCAACCCAATTCGCCAACTATATCTGATTATACACCGCAGCACAGCCCAARTAAACTCAAGACTCCTACATATAAGCATAATGCTGATTGCGAGAGTATATATGCAAGTTTAAGCCATGAGGACTTGCAYCAAGTCTCCCAAGAGACTGAAGCTAATAATATTGCTTATGATTCAAGTACGTTGTCYTCAGTATCAAGCGATGCAACTTCACCTTACGCTAGTGTTCGGATAAGTCAGATTCCAGGWTTAAGTTATGATCACTGRGATCATGATGACATTTACACCACCAAAACACCAGAGAACTCTGGAGAAAGCTTTGAAACTGCAACTCCTGAGAATTCAGGGTCTTCTGGAGTTGAACTCAAGCCTACTATGAACTCTGCTCGTTCAAGTACTCATACWTACATAGAACTTTTCCCTGAYCAAGCAAYCAGGGACAGTGTGATATCAGAAACTAGTTCTGGTTACGCCAGACCAGTTGATGTRATGGAGTCTGTTTTGAAGACAAAAGAACATCAGAATGAAAAGGATGAGAAGAAAAAAAGAAACAGTTTATCTGATATGGAGATCCCAGTAGAGGATAATGTAACTTTTGAAAAGACAGACTTAAATAAAGAGGTATACGATAACCCAGTGAACATCTCTGATAATACGGAGGACAGTTGTCATCAAGATAGTATACAAGACGGCATCAACCTTGACGATAGTATGGATGGAGTGCATGTTAATATCAGGCCTCTGTTAAAGAGGAATGATAGTGAACACAGTGAATATGAGATCTAATAATGATACCTTGATTGCATACAGTGTAAGCTTTATTAATATGAAATGCTAAGAAAAGCACATTGCCATAACGTTACACTTTATACATGGAAAGCAATGTAAATCCTAACCCAAGTGCTTTTAAAAGAAGCAACCTTTTTTGCTCTATTTTCATAATGTACTTCATAAGACACACAGCTACTTATCATAGTGAGTTTAGCACTCTAAAAACCAATGACAGATCCAAGGAATTGCCTTGTTCAACCGTCAACTTCTACTTGATAATTTTTTAATAAGGGGGTTCTTTAAAAGGTATTAGGATGGGTAACGTTCTGTCCATATAGCAAGTACGTAATGTGATTCTTAACACCTTTATTGCTTATAATATAATATGTCAAAGAATTTACAAGATCTTTCTGATCAAACTGCAACTATAACAAGATGTATATAATATGGTAAATCATTCCTTAAGTCAGATGGAAAAAGTCTAATGTATTCCTGCATACTTCACAAGAAAAAAATATCCCAAACCACTAAATACATGTTTATAGAGATTTTCACCAGACTTATAAAAGACTAGTTTCTGCTAATGTGACCAATATGTTAACAGCCTACTGGAAAGAGCTACAACATAGTTGTGCCAATATATGCATTGTATTAGTAAAGTATCTGTTGAACAGTCTGCAAGTCTCTTGAAAATCACTATTCAAAACCTTGGTTGGAAAACTTAAAACACATTTAGTATTGCGTCGGCACTAATGTTTGTAGGGATGTACAATATAATAACCCAAAAAAGCACTGCAAAGTTAGTATTTTTATAGTTTAAAGCACATCGTCCTTAGTGCTGGACACAACTGGACACTTATTGTGCACCTTAGTTTTGACAGCATTCTCTGGTAGAGTGTATTATACATATATATAGACGCTGTATATGGCTGGTCCATAACACTAGTCATGTTGTATATTGTACTGTTGATACTAGGTATGGCATGTGCTTAATTTGTGTGGTATTTATCTTGTTAAATACAAGGCTTTGGTAAATTTGATACAAGTTAATGCTAATCACATCAGAATTTGAAAATACATTTGTAAATATATTCTAGTACTAACAATCATGATAATAAACTGTTGTAAAGTTTAATTAATCTTTGATTAGTGTGATATAGTTCATAAATAAATCTCAAGTGGTTTAACTCTTTGTTGGAGATACAAAAACTTTAGATATCTGGTCAGAGCTTTTCAAAGCTTGATTAGTGTTAATACAAGGTTATTTCGGTCCTTAGATTTTTTAAAAGTTAACCTGGTATTGGTGCTACATGTAATCGATCTTTGAACATTCCAGCCCTGGTATTTAGACTTTAGAATTTTAATGAATAATTTTATACTAGTCTAAATGCTCTGGCTCTCCATTCTAGGATATTAAAAAGATATCGTTTAGTACTTGGTTTTATTTGTTTCTCTAATATCTTGTCTCTGATGAGATCCATCATAGAATCTAGTCCATCTGGGCAGTTACCTAGCATTACATTTCCTTCTTTAATAATAGTAAATACTAGTTTCTCCACAGTTTCATTACTTGACTCGCCATTAATCTTTAAGATGACTTTCTTAGTAGATGAAATAATCAAGTCAACCGATTCCTTTTTCTCATCTTCCAAGTGTAATTTTGAAAAGGACTTCAGTAATTCATCAACATCATCACTATTTTGCTCMTCTAGTTTTGGGACATTTGTGTTCAAATTGTTCTTGAGGGCTCTTCGAGCTGGAGGAACGTACATGGCTTGAGCTGCCCTTCTTGGTTTTCTGTTGTTCATACTAAGAGATGCAAATATAACTTTTTAGAAAATATCTGAAAGTTTGTCTTTACCCAGTTTGAACTCTTGATGTTGGTAAATTTATAGGGTAATTTCAGCTAGGATATTTATGAATGGGCCAACAAGTATGATTAATATCTTTTATAAAACTTTATTCTATAATAATTAAACAATGAGCATACCTTATTTATGTTTTTAGAAATGTCAATAAAGGACCAAAATACCAAGCGTACCCCTCTTAGGTGTGGTAAAACACGCTAATATAGGTCGATGGGAATGTTTCCCAAACGATTTCGCAAACAGCTATCCTGCGAGTCAAAAAGATCGCTAATACGAGAAGGAACGAATCCAATCTTAGGATAATTTTAAACGTTAATTAATTAAAGACTAAGTAAATGATAACATCAGTCTTATATTCTTGCTGACAGGAAGCCCGACAAAGGAGACCCTTTTTGTTCTGAGTCAAGAACGCGGGACGAACAAGACAACAGCAACAACAATATCAAGCTGAACTGGCTTAATAATAATTGTTATGATACCACTAAAGCTTGACCAAAGCAAAAGAGGGTATCCATGTACTTATAATTGAGATAATTGGTCTTTGAAAACACTAAACAAAGCGTTAAATTACCGTTTTCCAGTTGAAGCTATTACTGTAAAAGCTTAAGCTTATAAGCTTAAGTCTTATTTCATTTGGAGTCACGTCGTATTAAAGTTATGATCTACATAAACCTTTCCTAAGAAAACGAATATATCGTAGAGTGAACCATAACAAACCCAACAAATGAAACATACCTTAAATACACACGATAATGTAGATACGTGAATGTTTTCGCGAAGAAGACACACTTCTTGGCTGTTTACTCGTCGTCTGTCATATGGCTTACACAGCAACCGCGCGCAATAGTTTGGCGCCAAATGAATTTCCTTATATGGTGAAGGTGTTCTCGCGTTGTCGGTCACTCTTCGGAAACCCTCGGGATAAAGAGTAAAAAAAATCAATATAGAGAAT